ATAAATTATAATAAATTACAGGTAAAATAAATTATAATAAAATAGTCACCAATTAAATTAAAATCAGCTAAAATGACACGGCTCTCGCAGCTGTTAGCATTTAATGCTAATAATCAGCCAGAGTGTTTTCCACAAATTATTGGATTAGACTTCTCGGAACATTCTCCTCCATCAAAATTTTAAACGACTCTCTCTTTCCTTTCAAATTCCAAAACTGGAATGTTTCTTTTAATATTGACACAACATCAGCTTGCAGGTCTTTGATAGGGTGCGTGAATTGAATTTTTTTTTAAATTTTGCGATAGAAATTTAAAATAGTTTTAAAAGTAGAAACATACTATTGCAAACATTAAACTAGTGATTGCAAAAGTTAAAATAAAAATTAAATTATAAAAAATTAAAATTAATAAATTATTTTGCTTCTGTTCAAAGAAATTTTTTTCTGAAAAAATAATTAAAGCATATTCTTAAACTTAAGGAAATATAATTCTATTTATTAAACCAAACTTTTTTGTTTCACTTTTTATTGGAAAACAATTTGAATAAAAAAATTGAATGAAAACATCAATTTAAAAACCATTTGAATGAAAAACTTAATTATACTTAAATTTTTAATAGTACGATAATAGCGTAGAAATAATAGAAACAATAAATTATAAAAAAAGTGGTATCTAATATTTTTTTGCTTTGATCTTACTTGTTTAGTCTATAGATTATAGACTCGTGTGATCTATAGACTCGTGTGATCTATAGGCTTGTGTGATCTATAGGCATGTTTTTGTGTTAATATGAAGTTTTATGACGATAATGTTTTAATTTATTAATTAGAACAATTTTATTTATTTGCTTTGTTTTGTATTAAAGGCGTTTCATGTTATTTAAGTTATAAACTGTATAAAACAGCACAAAACACTGTCACAAAGTTTTTTAACACGAAGAACATTTGTGTTTATATTTTTAAAACAAGTTTGCAGTTGTTTTTTTTTGTTGTTTTATAGCTTTTTACAATAACAATAAAATACTCTTTAAAAATAACATGTATTTTATTGTCAGTATGAACGTATTAAATAGTTTTCTATGACTATTTAATTTTAAATTTTGTAATGTTTGCTTTTTACTCTTACTTTTTTACGTTTACTTTTTTAAGTATCATGTTAAGTAAAAACTATTACTAAAAGTAATATCTTAATAGTATTAAATACATTACTTGCTCATTACACTATAACTGCAACTTAAACTTTAAATTATAGCTTAACCTGTAAATTATAACATTAACTTACACTATTTTAAACTCCGCCAAACGAGAAAGTTATAAGATAATATTTAAATATGAGAGATAATATGTTTAAAAAAATAACAATTACGAACAAAAGATACAATTTTATGCTAACGCCTCCCATCCCCTCCTTTAAGAAAAAGAATTCAAATTTGGCGGTCACTGTGCCTCACAGTGACCACCAGGTTTGAATTCTCCCCATAAAGGTTGAAAAAACAATAGGTATGAAAAAGCAATATATAAGCATAAAATTCCACCTAACTATATTTTGAATATATGCAGAATAATGGATAAAGTTGGCAAAACACTTGCTCAGCTGAGCAACAAATTATTATATTAGTAAAATTTTTAATATTAATATTTAAGAGTTTTTAATTTAACATTCAAGAGTTTTCTGGTGGAACAGTTCATCATTCATAATTAAATAAATTTTTGTTTTTTCTATAAATAATTGTGTTTTTTTCATCACGGATGATATTTGGAAGTATATTCCAAAATTTAGGACCATAGTGGGATAATGCTTGATTTCCAAAACAATTACTGTATTTTGTTTCCTTTAATTTTAGTGTTCTTTCTGACATTGAGTAGTGAATTAAATTACATAATGATGTTGGTACTTCCAGAATAATAAATTTGTGCATTATTACAAGGACCTTGAAACAGATTCTTTTTCTAATTTTCAGCTAATGCAAATTGTTAAATTCCTGATCGCTAACATGATTTTCTAGTTTTAAATACTATTATTGCTGTACAATTTTGAACTGCAGTTTTTTTAATAGTGCCTTTCAAATTCCAAAGCAGAGGGAGTTGCAATAATCTAGCTGTGCAAATATTAGTGAACATGCTATGGTGCACAAATCGGTGTGCGATAAGAATTGTTTTACTTTGGATATTTTGTTCAATATATTGTAGCAGTTTTTTACAATCTTATCTATTTGTGTTTTTAAAGACTCATTGTCAAGTATCACACCTAAACTTTTTGCTGAGTCAACAAATCTAATGCAATCCTTGTTAACAAAAGTACCTTTAATAATAATAATATTTTTTTGAATGCTAGGTGGTGCCATAATTAATATTTTTGTTTTAGATTGGTTAATACATAGGAATGATTCATTCATCTATTTAAATATGTATTCAAGATATTTTGGTATACCCAAGGACTAGTGCATTATATTGAAATGAAGGAAGAAATGCTTTTAGAGTTTGATGATCATCCGAGTATCCAAAAGTATTAACATTGAATATGTTCAGATGTTTGTATACTGGTCTCATATAGATATTAAAAAGTTTCAGACCTAGGATTGTACCTTGTAGTGCTCCATATTTTACACTTTGGTTTGTGGAATATGAATTACTAATTTTGACTTTTTAGGTACGGTTAACTAAAAATGATTTAAACCACTTGTGAGCTGAGTCAATTATACCAATTTTACTAGTTATTAGACAACCCATACAGCTTGATTCTAGTGATAGGTATAGTATTTCAACACGTTTGTATAAATGTTTCTAAATTATTCCATAGTAGATATGCTAGAATAGGATCTTCAGGAGAACACTCCAAATGATATGATTGTTTTGTAAATTTCTTTGTATGTCGTTGGATCAAAATTTCTTAAATTATCACATTATGTGCCATAATTGGAGCCACTGCCAACACAATCCCACCAGCTTTTATATTTCCTAGAGTTAGCTTTAAAAAAGAATTTTTAAATGGTGCACCAGAAGTTAGCTTAGGATGAGTAAACTCTTCTGGTTAAATAAATGGAGTTTGTTTCATTGAAGTTTTAAAGCATAGAATGACACTAACTGTATGAAAGATAATCCAATATTAGTTTTACTAGACAATCATGAATTCTATGCTACTCTTGAAACATATATGCTCGGCAGAGAGTATGGAATTTGTAACACCTCACTGCTCTGGACATATTACCTACAACCTCTTGATGTAGGACTATATGGGCCATTTAAAGGTAAATCAAAATTTATTTTTAATGATTGGATGCTAAGTAATCCTGGTAAAGTTAAGCCTGCTTTAATTAAAACATCATATTTAGTTTTAATTAACACCTCTTTTAATTAACACACCATTTTCATTGAAAAATATCATATCAGCATTTGCCAACACTAGTAACTGACCTTTTTGTAGATCAATTTTTCTGAAAATGATTTTGAGTCTGCATAAGTAACAGATTGCCCTGATTTGAAGGCAATAAGAAAAAAACCTCTTAATGTTGTAACAACCAATAAAGTAGAATCATTACAATCAGGTGTACTTAACATTCCAGAAACACCTAAAAAATAACTATCATTTGTAGAAATTATTACAACAGATAAAGTAAAATCATTACATATATATATATATATATATATATATATATATATATATATATATATATATATATATATATATATATATATATATATATATATATATATATATATATATATATATATATATACATATATATATATATATATATATATATATATATATATATATATATATATATATAAAATACATGTATTTTTTAAACAAATTGAAAAAAAAAATACAACTAAAACACAACTATTTCCAATTTTCAACAATTAATGTTGAAGACATCACAGCTTCTATTAGGAGGGTACTTATCAAAATCAATTATAACAGCCAGCATCTACAGGATCGGAAAATTATAAGAAAATATATATTAAAATAACTTATTATAAGAAAATATATATTAAAATAACTTAAAATGCTTATTCTGGATAGGGAAAATGATTAAACATGTATTAAATAATTACACGACTACAAACAAATTTTTTCAGAAAAAATTTCTTAATTGTAATACCATTTTTGCAATGGGATCAACTTTATAATGAATATCCTAAATAAAAAGCCAACTATAAATTCTTATTCAAAGATTAAAATTATTAACAACACAAAAGATAAAAAAATGAATTTGAGATTTAAACAATTTTTATTATTTTGAATGATTTTTAAATCTTTTAAAAGTTATGTTATTTTGTTAATCCAACTTTTGAATTTTTAAAACAATATTAGTTTTTATAAAAATCATGCAATTTATGAGTTTCTTAATAAAAAAGACCTCTTTTAAATGTGTTTTGAACGTCTTTTAAAAGTTTGAACATTTTATTGCATTATTTAACAAACCCGCTGCCCACTGAGTTTGTTAAATAATGCAATAAAACGTTGAAATAAATAAAAAGTGTAAATGATAAATAAAATGTACAACTAATAACTAGTCATAACATACTTACAATTTGTTTGGGTACTATGAATTTTTAAAATGAAAAAACTAAAGGCTATAAATTAAGAAAATTAGAAAATATAACATTGTTTGTGGAACATTTTTTGCCTATCATTCCTGAAATAGAATGTTTTCAAATTTAAAAAAAATATATTTAATTGCTCTTGTTCTTGAACATTTGAACATATAGTCGAACATATAGTTGACCATGAGAAACCTATGGCAAGATCTAATAACTTAGACATTGATGTCATATCAGATGTCTACTATAACATATAGTTGAACATATAGTTGACCAGAGAAACCTATCTATGGCAAGATCTAATAACTTAGACATTGATGTCATATCAGATGTCTACTTAAGATTAGTTTTTACTATTTATAAAACTCTTGTTCAAAGCTGTTATACTAGTAAACATATTTAAAGTATATTATGATTCAATATTTTTGTTTCCTAAACATCACATGATAAATACCTCTTTGCTTCATCTTTCAAATTAACTGAGCTTGTTTCAAGATGCAAAGAAATTTGAGACCGAACATACTAAAAAATAAAATAAAACTTGAGAACAAAAATATAGAATCTATTTATTATTACATTATTAATATAATAATAAATAGATTATATATTTACTAAATAAACTTGTTAAATTGATGCTTGACTATAAAGCACAAAAAAATAGGCAGACCCAAGGTCTGTAACTACAACATACCAATTCTCATTTACATCTCAGAACTAATATTTTTTATATCATTTGTGGCCCATATAAAATAAATGATAACTGAGAAATTTTTAGCTAAAAACACCAGTAAAATAATTCTATCATCAGTTGAAATAACAAGATATTATTTGAGATTATCAAGATATTTCTTGAGATTATCAAAATATTATTTGAGATTATCAAGTCCTGAGAAGACTGTTTTTGAATTTCTCTACAAAAAAAGTATTGGGGTTCCAAATTTTAGGGATGTCCCCAGACCATTATCAAGATATTATATTTCAAAGTTGCTTTGTTGTCTTTTCCGACTACTGTGAAAATGCTGAACTAGCATTATTTCAACTGACAGGTATCATTTATTAAATATCAACTACAATGATGTAAACTATGCAAAAAAATTATGAAATAAAAAAAGGAGTATGTATCACAAGCTTTTTTTCTATCACAAGAATATGTTTTTTTTATCACAAGGATACGAATATGTTTTTTTTATCACAAGGATACGTTTTTTGTAGAAATGTAAAAAAATCTACTTCTTTTGAATAAGCAGGATGTTCCCTATCTTTGGTGTACCCTATAGCATGATAAAGATCATTCTTTTCTTTTTCACTAAATCCAGCCAAAGATAACATGCTTGCTAAATTTATTTTAAAATCTTTAAATATGAAATTGCAAAATAAACATGCAAAAGTAATGCATAAAAAATTATAACAAAAAATGGAGCGTAAAATTATCTGCAAAAATACAATACAATTAAAAAGAAAGCAAAACTTAAAATACATTAATATTTGAAAAAAACCTTTTTCAATTATTTTTTTATCTTGTAAACTATTTGGTCTGGAACTTATACCGAGCCACTCCAGCCAACTTAGAGGTTGTTCTGATTTTTCTTCCAGATCAAAAGCACCATTTTCTTTTTCAATATTAAACTATGTTTAAAAAAATAAGATAAATAACATGATATAATTTATAAAACTGGAAAAAAATAGTTTTACAAAAATCAACCTCATTTTCAGCTTGCTTCCTAGCAATTAATATATTTGCGACATCAAGAAGCTCTTCAGTTTTCTAAAGTTTAAAAACTGATAATTATATTAATAAACCTTTAATTCTTTAATTAAACTTAAACTTTATTTCACATTTGATCAAATCTGATTATGGTAAACTTTGTTTTGAATCTTTAACCTTTGTACTTATTTCAGAAATAATGTTGATTAGATAAATACTGCATGTTTAGTCTATCATCTTTTTAAAAAAATTTACAATAGTTATAAAAAATTAAAACCATTGTGTTTAATAAATTTTATTTTGATCTAGACCAAACATGATGAACTATAGTTTACCAGCATTATCAACTATAGTTTACCAGCATTATCAACATACAGTCTAATTAAAATTCACAAATCTGATAATTCCTATAAGAAACTAGATGCATATGTAGTTTCTTAAAAGATTTTTTTAAAATTTTTTTTGAACTAGATGTTTGTTATCAACCAATAATACACCTCATCTAATTTTTCAAACTCTATGTTTGATATCAACCATCAACACACCTCATTATCTAATTTTTTAAACTAGATGTTTGATATCAACCATCAATACACCTAACTTATCTAATTTTTTAGTAAAGTCAATGTCATAGTTTTTAAAAAAATATATACTTTGAATTTTTTTTTAGAAATTTTAAAAATATATATTTTGAATTTTTTTTTAGAAATTTTGACCAGGTGTACTTAAACCTCTTAACATTTGACATATCCAAGAAATGACATATAAAAGAAAGTACTTCAAGTCAATTAAATAAAGACAAACTAAAAATTCTACAAACCTCATCAATTTTTAAACACATATTCTCTATAAACATTTAAATAAATGTATTAATAGTTTTATATACCTCACAATTTTCATATACTGTCTTTCTATTTAGATGCAAATACTGGTCTTTCAACTTCTCTTTATAGAAAGCAACATATGATCTGTAATTACCTCTAAAATAAAGTTTTACAATTCTTTGAGAAAGGATAAAAAAATTAAAAAGATATGTTGAACAGATGTTCAGAACAAAATAATGACACAATAGTAAAGCATATAATAAAAAAATGATTAAAAGATTTAAGCCCCCCGCAAAGCATTATTGTGACCCTTTATAATGCTTTCCACTTTTTTTTTTTTTGCAACTATAGCAAATATAACTATAACTTATATTGTATTTCAATTTAAAAAATTATGTAAATTAATAAAGGGCAGGAAGTGTTTATCAACAATTAATAAAAACATTTTTCCTACATTAGTGGAAACGTTTTAATTTTTAATTGGTGGGAACATTTTAAAAAGGCTTTTTGGTAAATTTACAAAGTTTTAACTTATATTACACAAACTCAAAATTAAAATTTTAAGCATCTCTAAATTTGATATATATATATATATATATATATATATATATATATATATATATATATATATATATATATATATATGTATATGTATATGTATATGTATATGTATATGTATATGTATATGTATATGTATATGTATATGTATATATATATATATATATATATATATATACATATATATATATATATATATATATATATATATATATATATATATATATATATATATATATATATATATATATATATATATACACATATATATATATGTACATATAACTTTTCTTACACTAATTTTATCCTTCTAATATTAAGTTTTCAATATTAAGTGTTCACCCTTACTCACCCTAATATTAACTTTTTTAAACTGAGGTTGTTAAAAAAAGTTTAGCCAAGAAACCTAAATTGTTATTAGTTTCACTACTGTTTATACAATAAAGTTATTAAAAATGTTTAAAATTTTAAATCACATTAAATTTTAACCTGTGCTGTTTTATTCTTTCCCATGTCCAGCATTTATATGAAATTTCAACATAACTTTCAAATATATACTTCCACCTAAAAATTGTAATTAACAGTATACATATAAACTAATATAAAATATTCAGACTCAATAAAAACATTAATAATCAGCTTCATAATTAACAGACTGACAAATACTAAAAAATTTTGACGAATTCTAAAATTTGGAAGAATGAGGTTTAATTCAATAAAATAGCATAGAAAATAGTAACTCAAAATATTTAATATAATAACTTTTTAATACGATGATAAATAACTTTTCAAAATTATTTAAAAACTAAAAAAAGGAAAATAATTTAATAATTTTTTTTTTAGTTTTTAATAAATTTTAAAAAAGCAATATTTTTCAAAAATTTTAATGATTTAAGTATTGGATGATGGTATTCCAGCAGAAAAAAAAAGTTAAAAAAAAGTAAAGATAATTTTTAATTGAAAATAAATAGTTGAAATAAAATTTTAATTAAGTATTTAAAATAAAAAAATAAAAAATTAAGAAGTTTAAAAAAAAAAATTTAATTTTTAGTAAAAAATTTGTGTGTGAAATGAAAAATAACCAAAATAATACCATTATCTAAAAAGAGGGGAAAATATATCTGAGCCGTGTATATTACTTTATCTATAAAATAATATAATGCTAATTTTAAAAATTGTTTTTTTTTAATTACGATATAGAGGTAATAAAAAATCATTTAGTGATGTAAATTATGATGAATAAATTGTAAAAATAATTTAATATTTGCTTGTGGTTTTGAAATAGTCAATATTTTTAGTTTTTTTTTTTTTTTTTTTTTTTTTTTTTTTTTTTTACAAGGAAAAGATTTTCAATTCTTTTTTTAATTTGTAGAGAATTTTGAGCTGTATTTAAAAATTAATTAAAAAAAATTTCTAGTTAAAAAAAAAAATAGTTTTTGAGGAAATTTTATTTAATTTAAATGTTGAAATTTTGTAAGTTTCTGGAGGTTGAGTTGTCACTTGTGTGTCACTTATTGGTGCAAAAAAACTCTCATGTGCCTTATATATATATTGTTTTGTTTTGCATGTTTGACAACGCCAAATCTTGTACTTTAAATTTTTACACAAATTTTTAAAATTGAAGCCCAAAACTTTATGAAACTTTTTATATTTAAAGTTGTTGTTGCTGAGGTTGATGTTGTTGTTCAATTTATTTGCTTCAGGATGAGAAAAATTTGCTGCAAAGCTGCTGCAAGAAGTCAGGTAGATTTTTTTTAACTTTTTTTTAAATTTTACTTTGAAAAGCCAGAGTTACTACAATATTGAAGGTTGTTTACAAGCCAGTTGACTTTAGAGTTGACTTTGGAACTAATGCTATATGACATATCAGGGTGTTAGCCAGCCTGATGGCACCTCATATAACCCAGAATTCCAAATTGGTTTAAATTCCCAAAAGTTCAAAAAAAAAAAAAAACCTATATCGGGCTCAGATTTAAATTGTTACGCTAGACACGTAGAAAACCTAATTGTTACGCTAGACATGTAGAAAACCTAATTGTTACGCTAGACACGTAGAAAACCTAATTGTTACGCTAGACACGTAGAAAACCTAATTAGTGTGCACAATGAAGAAATGAATTAAGTTGATTAATCTTTTTATAATGTGAAAGCTCGTTCATTCAAAAGTTAAAGAAAACTTTATTTTTTAATTGACATTAGTTATTCTATAGCTTAGAATTTTCAATATATTTAATATATTATTTTTTAAATTTAAGTTAGGAAAGTTACAAAAATCTTTGCATATGAATAAATAATAAATATTATATTTTAAAATAAGTTGTTCATATTTTTATATTAAACGAATTAAAGATACTTTCAGTTGATTAAATTTGCTGGTAAAGTACACCGAAAATAACAACAACAAAATTTAAAACAAAACTTGCAATAAAAAGTATCATTAACAATATATTTGCGTAAAATATAAAAGAATATAATTAAATATATATCAATTTTATTTACAAATGCAAAATTTTAATTTACAAAAAAAACATATTTTTAAATACAAAAACTATTATTACTTTTTTAATTTACAATTACAAAATATGCATAAATTTTGTATTTTCAAATTTAAAAAAATGTGTAAAATATGAAAGAATATAATTAAATATATATCAATTTTATTTAAAATTCATTTACAATATATTTGCGTAAAATATAAAAGAATATAATTAAATATATATAAATTTTAATTACAAATGCAAAAGTTTAATTTACAAAAACAATATTTATAAACACATAAACTATTATTATTTTTATAAATTCACAATTATAAAATTTACAAAAATTTTATATTTGCAAATAAAATAAAAAAATTAATTTTTGTATTATATATATATATATTTTTATTTAAATACCTTGTATATTAGATATTTAAATGCATTGACTAAATTAATTTGGTGCCCTCCTGTGATGAATAAAATGTTAAAACAATTTTTCCACATTTTTTCCACATTTATAATATAAAAATGAAAGTAAATATAAATGAAGACATGATATGTAATTATTCATTTAAACTTTTTTTCATTTAAAAACGATGTACACAATTAAAATATATTAAAGTATCAAATTCATTCATTCAAATTTTAAACAATTTTTTTTTTTAGACTATTTTTATAATTTTTTTTTACTTATGTAGATGTACTTATGTTATGTACTTGTATACTTATGTAAAAAAATTCAAATGTTCATATATTTACAAATTTTTCCATCTAGATGAAGTGTCAAATGGCAAAGGTGAAATTTCATTGAAAACGTCTTTAGTATGTCTTTTTGTTTATCTTTTAGCAAGCAAGAAGAATATTTAGGTTTAGGTTTTTTTGTTTGTTTAGATAAAACACCAAATGGTAAGTATAAGTTATTTGCTTCAATGAAATAAAAACCTGATTATAAGTAATACATGTTCTTAATTATAACTTTGCTCCTTTAGGTTAAAATTAAAAGTTCAATTTAAAAAAATACATTAATTTTTAGAACTTATGTATGATTACAAAAATTATTGCCAGAAGAAGCCTGGGCCTTTGACCCATCGATCATTTCAGAGGTGGGTTCAGTATGTGGGGTCGACCACCTATCATTTAGATGGGGTGGTTAATACCCCTCATACAGGGGTCAAAGGTCTGGTGGGATAATTAAAAACTTTTATGTCTACAATTAACAAATTTTTTGTTTGTAGACATGAAAAGTTTGTGTGTATATAAATATATTTATTGTTTTATTGATAAATCTTTCATCTACAGTGTTAGTGTATATATATGTATATGTGTATATATATGTATATATATATATTAAATATATATATTAAATATATATATATATATATATATATATATATATATATATATATATATATATATATATATATATATATATATATATATATATATATATATATATATATATATATATATATATATATATATATATATTGTTCAGTACTTTGATTTTTCAAGTAAAAATCTATTTAGTTTTTTCAAATTTTTGGAGTAAAAATTTTCTTTTATCAAAAACATAATTTAATTTTTGACATAAACTTAAATTTTTTTGACTTTTTGTTGAGTTCTTTCAAATTAATTTATGAACTTTGTATATATATATATATATATATATACAAATTTTTATATATATATATACAAATATATATACTTTCAAATTAATTTATGAACTATGTATATATATATATATATATATATATATATATATATATATATATATATATATATATATATATAGACTTGTTCAAAAAGTTGATCCTTATTACGCACCTTCACGATTAATTCTGAGGTTGACATCTCCCACAGGTTCTTGATAGGGTTGAGATCCGGAGATTGAGGCGGCCAATCCATCACCGATAAGTGGTTGTCTTGAAACCACTGTTTGAGTACTTTTGCAGTGTGTTTCGGATCGTTGTCTTGCTGAAAAACCCATTTTATTGGCGTATTTCATTCAGCATGAGGTAACATAACATCTTTCAGGATATTTTTATACATGAAACGGTCCATTATTACATCGATTCGATGTATTGGATCTAGACCAAAAAACACCCCCAGACCATTACATAGTCTCCACCATGCTTCACGGTCTTATGGTAGTAACGTAAATTGAGACGTTTTCCGGCCGCTCAACGTACATGGCAAATGCCATCGCTCCCAATGATGTTGAACTTCGATTCATCACTGAACAGGACAGCTCGCCATTTCTGCACATTCCAGTCAATATGAGATGGAGCAAACAGAAGTTTTTTCTTCTGGTTTTTTTGTAAAATCAGCAGTTTCTTTACAGGGCGTCGAGAAAACAATCCGGCTTTAACAGCACGTCGTCTGATTGTTTGGTCTCATACAGGCAGCTCTAATTGCTTTTGTATCTCGACTGATGATATCCTGGGATCTTTCTTGACGGATCTGACAATCATAGAATCATCTCTAGAAGTGGTAGAACGCGGTCTTCCACCTTTGTTATCTGCTGCCAACTTCCCCGTAGAACGATATTTGGAACATAGTCTTGATACGGTCTATTTTTTCACGCGATATTTATCACAAATACTTTTTTGTGACATTCCACTTACGTAATCGCCAATAATTTTCTTTCTTAGTTCTAATCCAAGACTGTCGGGAGCCATTTCTGCACTTGAAGTCATAAAAATAATAAAAATAAATAATAAATTCTCAAGGCTTACGGTGTTACATTTACCTTGTGATGATACAATAATGCTCTGTGGAACACAACGTCTGGATACTTCCTTTAATTATTAAACTTCGTGACATTGACACGTACCAGACTTAAGAAAATGAAACAAACTAAAAAAGTTGCACTTGTTTTGTCCGCTGCAAAATGGCACTTGTCAACGAAATTCTGCCTGTGTGCTGTCACCTGTCAGCTGATTGTTCATGTCATGGCATGCAATGACTTTAGACTACTGAACTGTTTGCTATAGTAGTATAGTTTGTTTTGTTTTTAAGACATGTAAAATTAGGAACACTTTTTAGCATTGTTTGATGTTGGTTGCAAATGTTTTGTCCAATACTGTA